TATATAATATATATAATATATATATATAATATATATATAATATTTATAATATATATAATATATATATATAATATATATATATATATTTATATATATATTTATTCGCTGAAACACTTTCAACTCAGCTGCATGCAGAATGTTTTAAGCTGGGATGAGTCTCGCAGTGGGTCGGCTAACATGAAGTTGTGCTTCTGCATGAAGAGGTGGTTGCCGGGGTGGATGGTGGGTCGAGAAGGAACAAAATGCGGCGAGTCCCTCCCGCCCACCACTTGGACCGAAAGTTTGCAAGCCAGGCGCCTTGCATTCAACTTCATAAGACTTCGTGACAAGTCACTTCAGTTTATTCGCTGAAACACTTTCAACTCAGCTGCATGCAGAATGTTTTAAGCTGGGATGAGTCTCGCAGCCGTCTCCCCCATTTTGGATAACTGCGAGAGGATAACCTTCAGGAACGTAAGAGCAGTTGCAGAAACATCCACTGCATGCATCAAAGAAGCACCGTCCACAACTCCTCTGGAAGGAGGATCTGCAATATTACTTTTTGAAGGCACCCTTGCAACCCAAGCTGTGACATGTTCCTCGCATTCCAGCTCTGCAAAAAGCTCTGCCATGTTGTCGACGCATTCGTTATCTGAAAGTCCTTTGAGCAGTGAAAACTTCGTTCCTTCGTTATCAACAAACAACACTACTCGACCTTTGCAAAACTCTGATTTCCAAACGTACATTGCAAGCAGAGCCGCAAGTGTCTCAACTTCAAAAATGATTTGCTTCTTCACACCTTCTCCAAAAAACGCACGCACTTCTGAATCCAAAGCCAGCGAGAAAAAGAATCTTTCACCTCCCATAATTGCAACACCTCCAACTCCGCACGGCCATGTGGGATGGTCAGGCTCATAGCAAGCATCGGAGAAGATTAAAAGGTTCTCTTTGCCAGGCGCACCGACTTCCCTTGGTATGTTCTTCTTCAGTAAACCATGGAACATGCGCAGGAAGAAAATGTCTTTTGTTGTGAGAGTGGACCTTCGTCCTTCAGCAAAGTCCGCCAGCACACGTAGACACCTTTTGCCTGTTCGGCCGTACAACTGCGACTCCGCGAACTGCATCCTCCCACGCAGCCTTTGGGCTTGCTTGCTTAGCAGCTTGCCCTCTGCCACGGTCTTCTCAATCTCTTCGCAAAGCTCCGTGCACCTTGACTCCGTGTTACATACCAAGGCTTTGCCTGAAGTTGCAGACTCAAGGTTAAAGGACACTCCAAGGGCGGCACAACGCAGATCAAAAGGCTGCGCTTTATCTCCATCCTCTGCAAATATCCAGCCAAGAAGTTTGAATAAAGCCACTATGGTCTTTTCTGTACTTCCATTTAATTTGGGCCTGCTGAAGGAGATGTAGTCGTCGTAGAACGACGTCCAGACAATGAAACATCCAGTCACCCCCAGCCACCAGACCGCACGTGCAAGCCTCAAAAATGAATGCACACTCCGAACCGCCCCAAAAGGCAGGACAAGGCTTTTAAAGAAGCAGGCCCGTCTCGTTTCCGGATTGAACACCCTGAGGTACGCAAACTGTCTTCCCTTTTTGCTCAAACCAACTTGCCGATACGCACTAGCCAGGTCAAACGTTCGCACTGCCAAAGAACTGTCAACATTGGCCTCCCTGCACAAGCTAAACCACACCATCAGTGTGGCACACGCAACATCAACTGTATGTAACATCGGTGACTCTGCAACCGTCACACTTGCATTCACACCAGATTCTGAATAGTCATCAATCAACCTCACTTTGTCTGCCCTCTGCTTCAACCCAAATCGCCGGGACAGAGGTCTGTCTTCAGGCACCAAACTTTCCTCCAAAGGACCAATAAGCCACCCTCTTGAGACCTCCTCCAATGTTTTCTGCCACACAACATTGTCAATGAACTCGTCACCAGAACTCCGCACTTCGTTGACTGCTGCTTTTCTAATCCTGGCGGCGTTTGCACAGAGTTCCTCTTCTGAGATGAGCGCCGGTTCAAACTTCCCTGGCAGCATACCTGTGGCAGGAATATCTCCAGTCAAATCAGACCCTGCACGCAGTTCTTCAATGACGCCCATGTCCGGAAAATTGGTTGCCTGCAACATTTCTTCAAAAACAAGAATACGTTTACACTTCACAGCACAAGCAACGCTAGCATCCATGTTCGCTTTCAGCTCCCGCTCTTGATCTTCCAGTTGAATTGCTCTTTGAGTCCACTTGGCCACAAACTTAGCCCTGGCTCTTGCCACAGTCACCTCATCATTGTTTACATTGAAGGCCAGAGCATCAAGGAGTTGAGGTGGCACTGCAGTATCCAAGGAAAGGGGATGCCGCGCACATGCTGCTTGCTCCACAAACTCTTGTTCCGTCCAAAAAATTCCAAAAAGCTTCAAACAAACCGTACATGGAAATTTCAGTGCATCATTGGCGACATCAACCTTTGCATCAATGTTCCATGCTAAACATTGTTCCTGCACGCTGGTCATCAAGGCCTGCAAGCTCTCACACCCCATTTCAGATTGTTGCAGGACTTTAGCATCGTTCAAAAAGGTTGAGTGCAACGGCCAAAGACATTGTTGATGAAAGAACAGTGCAACGCAACGTGTTTTAAACTCAGAAATGATGGGGGCAATCTTGTTGGTTGCTGGCTGGTTGTGTGCAAGTGACCGAGCTGCCATGTTGATGGGAATGTTCATCACTGGTTCCAGCCCTCTTTTCTTAAAAGCAAGCAGCAAGGTCTCAGCTATAGCATCGCATAAACCAGTCGGATAGTGAACCTCCAACGCAGTTGCATAAATGCGCCTGCCCTGTTGCAACCGATAGCCCCAAGGATCATGCTGGTGTTTGCCATCACAGACTCCACAAACACGTCCAATCTCTGCAAAGTTGGCCACAAGTTTGGTCCACTTGGGCCTCTTGGAGCCGTATGCACATGTTTGATGGCATTGAACATGATCCATGTATTGAAACTTGCGTTCCACCCAAACAGTTGTTTCCCAGTACAGCGAGTCTCTGGGATTTTCACATATACAAAGCTTGTCCAGTTCACAACACAAATCAAAAACTGTTGCAGAAAAATCGTACAAGATGTTGCTTTGTTCCACACGCAACAAATCAGTACCCTGCAGCCCTGGGAGCCCGTCCGGAAATTCAGCAGAACGTAGTGGTTGTGGCAAGTCAGGGTCATCCTTTCTTTGGATGTTACGTGCAGCGCTTGCTGTGCCGCAAGGCGGGGCCAAAAATACGGCCTTGACCTGTGGGTTGCGTATCCAACTTAGTACCAGCAGCTGGCTTGAAACCAAAGTCAAATCCAGTTTTGTGACTAGCGCCTTAGGCGCTTTTGGCATTGTCTTGTCGACTGCAACGGCGTCCAGTCCCAATCGCTTGAGCGATGCACTTACACCTGCAGTACCGCAAAAAAATTCCAAGACCACAACGTGCTCCTTGGATGTGACACCTGTTGTTGGAGCTGATGGTTCTAGTCACTCCTTGTTCGCACTCATCTCATCTGGGTGTCCATCCTTAAAGGCATGGGCCTTAAAGCACCCTGCCTTGAAGCAAACATGACGTCCCTTGGGACATGCACCACCCGTTGGAGCTTTGCTGCACTGACTGAGGTTGAAGTCGAAGCACAAAGGTCTGTTCTTTCCATCCCTGCCAACGCAACCACTGTATCCCTTTGGTGCTGCATTTGAACCAAAGGGCTTCCCAGACTTTCCATGCTTTCCCTTTCCTCGCCCCTTTTGCCCACTGTAGGTTGGGTAGGGTTCAGATACATTCTTACGCACTGCAGGTTCAACTGACTGCGCTTTTGGCAAGGGAAGCAAATGGAAAGTTGTATTGTAATCCTTCAAAGCATCCTCCAAGGCGGCGTCCAAAGGGCGCACATTGTTTGCATCTGGCCTGATGTCTGCTACATTGTGTGCAAGAAAAGTGAAGACTTCCTTGTCTGCTCTCATAACTTGGGCCAGCGTCACATGTTGATAGGCTGGAGGAGGTTCAAGGGAGAGGTGTCGCAGCAGGCGTTCAACATACAATTCATGGGCTCTGAAACTGATCAAGTTGGCGAAATCGTACGCAATGCCTCTTCTTCTGAGACACGTGGCCAGATTGTAAGTGGTGGAGACTGTTTCGTCGGGCATTGACTTCGACTCCTTAATGCTTAGGCTGCCAGCATCCAACTTGAGTTTTTTATCTGTTCTGCCTGCTGTGATCTCATTCTCCCTGCTGGTGCATTTGGCCGGCTCCAGGTACTTAAGCGCACGCGTTTCGAATTGATGGGCGCATTCATCCAAAAGTGCATGGGATGGCTCACCCGTTCCAGCAATGTTCAGGCCCTGCAGCCTCAACCTGATCTGGTCCATTCGGGCAGTCTTTTCTGCAAATGGAATCGCCTTAGGTGTTGATGAGTCCGGCGTTTCAACTGTGGAGCGTATGGTGGACGTCATGATCACCTCACATTCATAGTGCAATCTGCGAACCGCTGCTGCTGCTCCCATGGTCAATGGGACATTATTGTTTACACCCTGGGCCCAATTGTCAGACTCACGCTCATTGAATTCCGCTCCAGGCCTAAACACTGCAAATGCCAAATGCCCTACAGTTGTAATGCCTTCACGTCGCAAAGCCTGTAAAAAGGCAGGTGGAACTCCATACTCATTGGCCCGCGCCTCGAAATGCGCTTCACTGTCAACTAGCCCCGCCATTTGAACCAAACTGCCCGGGAAACATCTTATCAGGTGGGGAGCTCATGCAAATGAGAAAGCTTCACAACAACTGAAGCGCACGTCCCGTAATCAAGACAAAACTCAAAAATTCAAGATTTGAAATGCAACATGCAAACAACATTCACACTCAACTGACATGCCAAACGTCCACAACTGATCTACATGAGCTGGACATACCAGCTTATTTCAAGACTGCTCACGCAGTTTCAACACGGCAGCAGCCGCTTATGCAAACTTTTTGACAGTGGGGCAACCACTGCATCACAGGACATCGGCAAAACACTTGCCGCACCTCAAGCCAGTCAACCTGGCGATTGGAAAATAAGAGTCACCAATGACCCTTCCACACTTGAACAACGTCTCGTTGCGTCGCTCGTGAATGACAAGGGTTTTCCCATTGATAAACCACTTCACACAGGCATAGGCAGATGCATGTGAGGGTGCACCTGCAGAGGAACCCTGATCCCAGGTCACTTCGACGTCACTGTCACTGTCCGAGCCATAGCTCGAGTCACTCGAATTGTCCTGCCAATCTGCCAGCAGGTTGGGCGGTTCAGGGGCCCTCGATGCATCATCTTGCAACTCCTGCTCGGGCCACTCCACCGTGTTCCAAGAACCAGGCGACTCCATCAGGGGGCTCTCGGGCGATGGCACCACACTCGCCGTCTCGTGAACCACCGTGCCTGCGACCTGATCTGCTTGCTCAGGAACGGCAGCTGGCAATGGAGTTGCTGGCAACGGAGTGGCAGCCACTGGCACACCAGGCACGGGCACTGGTGTGATCATGCCGGAGCGTGACCTGTCAGGGAAGAAGTGCTGCTTCTTGATGGCCTCGATCACCGCCACTAGGCTGCGCAGCGCCGCTGTGATCAAATCTCTTGAGTACAGCGCCGTTGGACCCTGCGAGGCTTTGCTGTGCCTTGCCAGGATCTCACGGTGTTCCGGGCTGACATCGTGCTTGGCACACCATGAGATGCACGTTGCTTTGCACGAGTGGGTCGAGAGGCGTCTGCTGCTCACATCAATGCCACCATCTTCAAAAAGCCGCTGCATGAAGGCATTCATCTCCTGCGATGTCAAAAACCTTCTCTGCCAGCCAATGCCGCCTTTGACAGGAGCTGGCAACATCGGCTCAGGGGCCCTGCCAGGCAATGTGAGCCCGGCCTTTTCTCTCAAGGCCAAATAGTCAGCCGCCCAGCAACCATTCACAATGCCATGCGCAGGAGCCACAACTGGCAGCAGCATGGCTTTGGTCACTGCTGTCCTCGATCCCTTGTGCACAGATGCTTGCAGCTCCAAAAACATGTTCTCCTCGTCCAGCTCACAGTTCACGGCGGCCAGAAGATCTGAAAACCTCGCACGTGCATAGACCATGTGGATCAGGTGGCCAATAAAGACCCTGTCGATCAAGCTGCGTCTTTCTTCCAACATGGCCTTGTGCAAAAATTGCACATCACTGACTGTAAACGGATCTGCCGGCCTCCATGGTCTCTTGGTTGCATACAGCTGTGCTGCCAGCCCACGAACGAAGGCTTGACAAGGTCTCTTCACATCCATCCACCCTGAAGACAAAGAAGCAAAATCGCAAAGCCTCCAGCAAAGATGTGGCCCTTGTCGCTGGGGCTTTCTCCAACTTCAGGGCCTTGAAGTAAGACCATACAGCTCCCTCTTCAACCGGGAGCCAATGCTTGCTGGACTGCCGGATCACCCAAGTGTTGAAGGTCTTCACGGCATAGAGGCGTTTCATGACCGTATTCGGGCTCTTGACCCCTAGTGAAGCGTCAAGAGTCTCCATCCCGCTTCTGCACATGTCAAGGATCCCAGTCTCTTGCAGAGCAATCCTGCCGGGGTCACTGCAGGTCATGTCCAGCCGCAAGAGATCCCACCAGGCTCGAACGGCCAACTCTCTTTTCTCATCTCTTTCCTCCAGATATGAACCGCCAACCACCTGCTTCACCACGCTGGAGTAGAGAGCATCATCTGTACGAGTTGGGCGCACACCTATTGCTGTGGAACACTGCAACCCTTCTCTCACTTCAACGTCGACACGAACAAAACTGTTGCTGCTGGCATGTAAACGAGGCAGCTTTGGCTCAAGACGCCCTTGGTCTCCGAAGATCCTGGCCATGCGCCCTCTTTCCCATGGGAAAAGGACGGCCTTCTTGTTTGTCAAACGAATTGCTTCTGACACAACGGCATCCGGTGCTGTTTTCCCGACATGAGAAAATGCACCACCTGTGCTTGATTCACCTGTGCCAGCGTCGACAAAGTTCACCTTGCCCAAACCTGTGTCATGAGGACCTGTGGCTTCAAACGCAGGCCCCCTCATAGGATTCAAAAAAGTGTCATCAGAAGGGTGACCAAAAAGCTGTTCCATGGCACTGCTCCGACCGCCATCCATCTGTCCCTCAATCCCATCCGGGGAAAAGGTCTCAAATTCACCAGCCAGAGATTCTTCACTGTCCAAATTCACTGGCATGGCTGACGGCGTGTCATCATGCAGATCAGTACCACTCCTGCTTTGGCACCTCCACCGCTTTCTCATCCCGCTCGACAGGCTGTCTCTCACCCCTGCTGCTGGAATCTGCCGCTGTCACTGGCGCTGTATCAAAAGCCAAAGGACCAGTGAATGAACGGGCCACCGCACGAGCTTGCAGTTCAGAGACAATGGTCTTGATGCTCTGCAGCAATGCCTCGTCACTGTAGGCGGCCCAGCAAATCCCAGGTGGGTTGGAAACAGGCCTATCCCCCATGGCTCGAGAAGGAACAAAATGCGGCGAGTCCCTCCCGCCCACCACTTGGACCGAAAGTTTGCAAGCCAGGCGCCTTGCATTCAACTTCATAAGACTTCGTGACAAGTCACTTCAGTATATGCAGTATACGTATTGGATAGATATGAACAAAAAACAAGGTGTCGCAACATGTCTTTAATTTGAACTCTTTGTCAGCCACTGGGACATCACTGGGTCTGCCACTGAACTGACACAACCGATCTCCAGGAGAAATGGGCATCAATCAATTTTTTGCATCTCCCCCAGCTTAAAAGAACGATAAAGGTATTGACACCGAATGTTGGAAAAGAATGCGCGTTCATGGGTTAGAATGTTCCCTTGTCCAGTTCGGACCCAAGCGGATTTTGGCATGAATTGTGGTTGGTTTTGATTTGATTTGAGCAGAACAACTTGCCTGTTGTTTCAATGCCTTCACGGACTTGTTTTTTATGCGATGCATGTGCCAAGGAATGCAAAGAGTTACAAGGATGTGGCTGCTATCATAACACGCAGAATATCATAAAATACTTGGGTATTGGTTTACCGGAAATTAGAACGACAGGTGGCATACCCTAACCTGGCTTTCAATAATTTCGAAACGTGTCATGTTTTTTTTCTGCATCCAATTGGGGTCCCATTTAAGAAGAGTAGTCCATGGGGCCTGGACTTTTCGTTCTACTAAGTTACTCTGCATCCAAACATAGAACCACCAGAACATGGCACCTGGATTTTTGAAAAATTATTTTCACTAACAAACCACAAGACGGTGGAGAAGAATCATAAGTCGTATATATGATATAACCGGTATATATATTATACCAAAACCATATATACCATAACAAAAATTAATCAATACGCCGGATACGAAAACGCACTCGCAAACGAAAACGCAAATCACACTTTGCCACTGAGCACTGCTTTCACATGAACACAAGTGAAAAAATTTCGATCCGACAAATGAAATGATAACATGCACAAGTGAACATGATGCCAGGCTCCCTTCTTTTTTCGCGGTCTGGTTTGAAGCAAAGTCGGGGCAAAGTCTGCAGGTCGTATGTTTTGACCCTGGTCTGCAAATCTTGTTTTTGCGTCACCACAAAGTAGCAGACATTGGACTGCTTGATTGGGTTATGTTTTCCGGTGTCTTGCTTCCGGTGTACCCGTGCAAATACCCCAGCGTTTGGGTGGGTGAACGCAGTGACAGTAGGGTGGGTAACGCTGCCCTTTCAGAAAGGGTGGAATTCCCACCCACCCTCCCTTGAAATGTAAAACACCAAATAAAGAGAATTCACATGTGACATGTGAGGTTCAACTGATGTTTCAGATTTCAGCAGGGGAAAAGGTTTCAGTTTAGATTTTTTTTTTGGTCTTGTTAATTTGTTCACATTGGAACAAATTTTTGTTGTCGTGAAAATAAGGCATTCATCTTTGATTCTCAAAGAGGTGTTGCTTATTTTCACTAACAAACCACAAGACGGTGGAGAAGAATCATAAGTCGTATATATGATATAACCGGTATATATATTATACCAAAACCATATATACCATAACAAAAATTAATCAATACGCCGGATACGAAAACGCACTCGCAAACGAAAACGCAAATCACACTGTGCCACTGAGCACTGCTTTCACATGAACACAAGTGAAAAAAATCGATCCGACAAATGAAATGACAACATGCACAAGTGAACATGATGCCAGGCTCCCTTCTTTTTTCGCGGTCTGGTTTGAAGCAAAGTCGGGGCAAAGTCTGCAGGTCGTATGTTTTGACCCTGGTCTGCAAATCTTGTTTTTGCGTCACCACAAAGTAGCAGACATTGGACTGCTTGATTGGGTTATGTTTTCCGGTGTCTTGCTTCCGGTGTACCCGTGCAAATACCCCACTGACTCAAGTGCGACGGCAAGACCACCTGCTTTTGTTTGGCTTGGGAAAGCCAGGGTACATTGAAGGAAAGGCGAGAGGCATCATCGGCTGGATTACTGTGCGAAGGCACTCTGCCGAACCAGGGCAACAAGCGCAACAGTTTCTCAATTTTTACAAACTCATTGATCATCCCCATAGCTGGAGGCGTGGCTCCGTCGGCTCTAACCAGTGCGCTATGAGCCGCATTGTTATCCAAATAAAACACCACGTGGCTGCGGCATAGAAGCTTGGCCCATAGCTTTATCGCCAGGAGCACCGGCAGAATTTCAAGCTCATAAATTGGGTGTTCAGAAAATTCCAGGAATTGATTCATCAACGAACTCGGGAGCGCAAGGCCAAAAAATTCAAGGGAGCGCCCCCATTCATCCACCAGCAACCCACCTATGGTACCTGGTGTCTCTGAGGTCGGTTCATACGCACCATCTGTGAAAACAAAAAATGTATTGCAATGCGACGTTGAAAGCTGCACCGGCTTGGCGCGGGTCAACTCTTCCATCAAGAAACTTACAGCTTTGGTCAGTTGCTCAGTCTTGGCTATGGACTTGACCTTCATTCTGGCATGTCTGGAAATAACCCGCACTGCAGCATTGAGTTCACGGCCAAAGACATATGAATTGAACCATACCAAACGGCCATGCAACTTCTCAAGCGCTTTGACATCTATTTTTTCTTGTTCTAGCACCTCTCGTAGACTTTCCAGTAATTCAGCACATCGTTTGTCTGTATGGCCCAAAGTGAATGAGCCCTCGTGTGAACTAGTCAAGTCCACTACCAGACCCAAAGTCTTGAAAACCTTCGTGAAGTCTGGGGCCTTTGGCCCTGTCGCCGCAAACTTTACTCCCAGCAATTTCAAGAGCGATTCCACGCAAAAAGTCACCTCTGGGGCGGCCCCTTCGGCACACACTGCTGTATAGTCGTCAAAGAAGTTGGTCCAGACCAGTCTCAAACCCACAGTACCTATATATTTAATAGAGGCTGCTATACGCAAGAACGAAGAAACTGAGGCAGTGGCCCCAAAAGGAAGTGACTGTACTGCAAAGAATTTCACATCGCCGTCCGGGTGCTTCTGGGCGATCCTCAAAGATTGCTGGTGTTCCAAGTCCACTCCAAACTGCTTATAAGCACTTTTGAGATCAAACGTACGCCCCACAAGGTTTAATCCAGGCTGTGCTCCAGCTTTAAAAATGGTTACCAGAATGTTTGCGGCCAACTCGTCCACGGATTCAACTCTCAGCCTCTCTGCCATGCCTACCGTCTGGTTTACGCCAGCAGCTGTGAAATCATCAATGAGCCGAAGTTTGCCCCCTTGCAGTAGAGGAAAACGCTTGGCAACATGAACAACGCGCAGGTCGTCGACTTCACATGGTTTCAACCACCCACGGTCGATTTCCGTTTGGGTCTCATCCCAAGCAGGAAGGTCCAGATCTGTGACCGCCGCTTGCCGCAAAGAGTCGACTACTGCATGGTTAATGCCCAGTGCTATGCCCTTGAGCTGCTGTACCGTCATCTCCGGAGGTCTGACATTTTGTTGGAACACACCTGACTCTTCAACCCATCCAGTCATAGGAAAACCATTAATAATCTCCTGTATGATCTTGGCATCTGGGTACTCCAGCTCAGCAAGGATCTCTTTCCAAAGCAAGAGGCGTTTGCCTTCGAGTACCCTTTGCAAATGCCCCGGCAGGGAGCGGTGCAACGCATCCTCATCTCCTTGAAGCTCTTTGGCCCTTTGCATCCATTTCTTAAGAAAAGCAGTTCTGGCCAACGTCACCTGGTTCTTATTGCCTATCAACTGATCCACTGCCTCAGAAGCTTGTGAATCCAAACGGGCCAGCAAAAAACGTGGGTGGCCCAACGCCACTGCGGCTTCTATAACTGTTGTGGGTCTCTCGGCACCCCCACCTTGATGAGTTCAAAAGTCTCACCATCCAAAATTTCTGAGGCCATCTTAGCATGTGGGGTGGCCAAAAACACGTCCCGACTGAACCCCTGCTGCACCTGACGTGAAATAATCTTTGATCCCTTGGGGCTATTGTGGTCCAGCACAAAGGTCTGGGCAGCCTTAAGGCTGACCGCAAATTGCAAAACGTATCCAAATTCAGAAACGATTGGGCGCATTTTTTGTTGTCTTGGTTGAGTTGTAAACAGCTGTCGTTTTCCGACCATATTGTCATGCTGCAGTTGCTGTAACAAGTCATCATCTGGCCCAAGGTGCCTGGCGATGGCCTCTTCCAAGAAAATACTGGCCATTCGAGTACAAAGGAGCATTGGATATGCAGCTTCCTCTTTCGTAGGGTAAACCCACTTTCCATCCAAAAAACGCGGCCTCCAAGATTGGTGGACATGCTGCTTGTCACACTCCAACCCTAAGGCTGCAAATAAATTGACTGCCGGCTCTCTGGGGTTAAAAGACCATAACTTTGTAGCCTTGTCCCTTTCACCTCCATGCATACAACTGTGAAAGCACGTGAAATGACCGTGAGGCACCTTGTTGTATAGCCTCTGCATCATCGATGTGTACCAGTACAAAGAATTTTTGGGGTTTTCGATTGACACTGACACCCCAAGGTCCAGCAGAATCAAAATAAGATCCACCGCTGCATTGTAAGACTTGTTGGCAGCCTCCACTCGCGCTGCTTCAGATTCATTTAAATTGTCCAATCCATCTGGCTTTTCATTTGAACGCAATGGCCTAGGCTGCCTATGTGCGGGCAACCCAGGCACTGGCCTTTCCCTGGCCCTAGAGGCCGTGCCGCAGCTAGGCGCAAAATGCGCATGCAC